TTCTCAACTTTACCTTCCTTGTATCAAAAGATCTATCAATAACACCCGAGTGGATTTCAATTACGGACACGACTGATTAGATGAATAGTGAGGGGTAACTAGCAGTAATAAACACAAACTCCTTCCTGAGGGATATATTGAAGAGGACTTACCCCTCGCTCATGAATGTCAACAGCGAGGTTTCAAAATGCGAGTTTCGGCAGAGTCTTATCACAGTATGACAGCGTCTTGTTTCACAAACGTCAGTTGAATCTCTTTTTTTTCTTTTCCTTTTCTTTTACGTGTTTTTAATATTCCCTAAAGCTCCATTTTATTTTGAAGCAAAATAACGCCCACCGGATCATTACCTTCATTACCGCCCTCTTGACCGCCGCGTCATTAATTCCATTTACATTTTCTTTTTGATCGGGGACGACGTGCAGACAGGCCCAAAACACGTACCTTTCCCTAATTGCAAGAATCGCCACCCCAATTATCCCCCGCTTAAATCAAAAATAATGAATAGCAGTAACCGTCCGCCCATAGAAAGAGAAAATATTAGCCAACGATAAGCAACCACGAGTACTCAACCAAACAAATAAAGGCACGTTCGGGTCAGATACCCCGACCCCGACCCAGGGGAAAGCGGGGGTTAACCACCAGGCATGAGAGCCCACGTTAAAAGGAAAAAAAAAAAAAAAAAAAGATCACACCAGATCACTGAGCGGAGAGTATAAAACAAATGGAAATCGAAAAAGAAAAAAGGCAACAGAACATCCCTCCTACGATCGTCGTCATACATGAGACCAGATCGCCGGCTGAAACAAACCATACCCATACCACCGGAAACCTCATGTTTATGAAACGAACCTTTCCAACTCCTGGCCGCACGTTCAAAGTATGTCCCCGCCATCGGCGATCTCACCCCACGCTCTATTAACAACATCTCTTGCACCCCCTTCTCTTATTCTCATTTTGATCATTGCCAGGTCCAATCCGGTCTTCCCCGACGCATCGGCCATGTGGGGATCAGCCCCGTGCTCCACTAACATTCCCACGACCCTCTCCCTACCAGCCCATACTGCACGATGCAATGGAGTGGCGCCATAATCGTCCCTTGCATTTGCCTCTGCACCTTTCTCGAGCAGAACTTTGACGACCTCTTCCGAGCCCGCCTTTGCTGCAAGATGTAACGGCGACCATCCAAACATATCCCGCGTGTTTATGTTTTCAGCACATTTTGCATTTGTCAATAGTACGCGAACCGTGGTTGCATCAGCAAGCTTTGCCGCTAGATGCAACGCTGATTGGCCCATCAATGTACGACTAGTTGGATCCGCGCCATGTGCTAACAGTGAACTCACTATCGCAGACGTGCCAGGGTGAAGAACGCTCAGATGAAGAAGCTTCCGCCCAGTGGCGGGATCAGTGTAGGATGTTGTGTTTGCGCCGTGCTCCAATAGCAACGCGGTCATCCCCGGGTCTTTGCGTACTACAACGGCCCAGTATAGGGGCGCGCGACCCTGTGCGTCTGGAAGGTTAACGCAGGTTGTTGTGTTGGACAGTATTAATTGCACCATTGTGTAATCGCCGCGGTAGACGGCCTCATGAAGTGCAGACCGGCCACACGCATTGAGTGTGTTGATGTTTGACAATTCTTCATCGGATGTTAGGATTAGTGTAGCAAGATTTTTATGACCGGCCACGACGGCCCAGAATAAGGAGGTGTATGTTATGCATTTATAGTGGAGAATGAGTTCCGCACCCGCGCCGAGGACATCCTTGATTGTCTCCACCAGCTCACCGCCCTTCTCCCCCGTGGCTACATGGGTCGGATGCAGTAGCAGTGATGATGATTGTGCTGTGATGGTGGCCGGTGGAGTGTGTACTGCTGGAAGGATACTGAAGATTGCGGTTGTTTTTGTCAGTATCTGACTCGCGAGGATACTGTTGGATGAGGCGGCGGCCCAGAACAGGGCGGTGATAGAGAAGTCGTCGAAGCATGCGAGGGTGCGGAGGCGTGGCAGGAGGAGAATCGCGAGGCGGCGGGATGTGCGGATTAGGGAGTATAGAGAGCATGGGAGGAGGTGTTCGCCGAGGTTGAGTAGGAGCTCGTTGGGGAGCGTAAGTAGGTGGGATATAGGGCTGTCGATCGTAGGACTGGTCATTATTACTGCAATTGGACGCTGGAGATATTGTCTTTATGGTGGCGATGAGGGAGTTGACGAGTCGAACTGTAGCTGGCATTTGTGGATCGGGGGGGGGGGGGGGGGGGGTGGTGGGAGGGAGGGATAGATGTGTATAATATGTGAGGTATGTGAGAGGTCCGCCTAGGGAGTGAGTGGTGAGATTATTTTTTCTTTTCTTCTTTCTCTTCCACTTTCGTACCTTGATCGGTATGCGATGTGTATGTGGGTGCGTAACTGATGGTGAATGGGGGTATGTGTATGGGTATGTAGAGCGGTGTATGTGTATGTAGAGGACCTGTATGTGAAGTATGTGTGTGGATGCGGTTGGTATTGTTCCCGGCTTGACAATATCTGGCTGGCTACGTACCCCTTTGTGTCTTTGTGTTGATAAAGTTGCAGGAAGATCTCGCAAGCTGTCCTCGGAATGATCCAGGGGTGAGTGAAAAAAATGTTGGGTGGTGTTGCCGTTATCTTAGACAGTGTTAGTAATCGTATCAACATGCAGCTAATATGGGGCTGATCATGAACCATCACTCGGTCTCACTTTCAGGCGGATTTTGTTTTTTAGCGGCACGCTTGGGGGAATGTGTTTGGGGCGAGAAGCTGTAGAGACAGCTATGGATATAAAGGCAGCCGTTTGGGGGACCGAGGAACGCTGTTCTCGGTTGAAGATTGAGCTCGGTTAGAGGTCTATATTGCAATTTACCTGGGGTTCTCGGGGGAGCTGGTGTTTTCCGGAGGTGACATCGGAGGTCGGAGGTTATACTTTTGGATGAACTGACTGACTAATTGAGGCAACAATTGACCTTGACTAACATGCAGCATCACGTGCAAGGAATAATAAGGCAAATAATAATTAGTACGGAACCAATTAAGGGTTAGGGTTATTATCGGTGAAGGGATGAATTGAATACATTTTTAGATTCTCGGATTATCAGATTTCCATATTTATTTATCTTTTTCCCAAGCGGAAGGCCCGTTCGTCTAGTGTCATGCAGGATGATGATGGTGGAAAAGGAAAAAAAAAAAAAAAAGGAAGAGAGAGGAAGAAGAAATGTTAATCAACAAGGTACTGCTGGAATTCTAAGATGCTCATTTGGCCGAAAGTGGAAGGCTACATAATGTATTAAGAAAGTGGATATGCTGGCCTAATCGATATTGATCGGAAGGATAGTGGGGATAGGATGCGTCGGGGGGAGAAATTTTGGCGAGGGGGGGGGGGGAGGATGTGCGGGTTGCAGATTATCGATCCCCGCCTTATGTCTAGTTAACTTAACATACACAAAGTATCATTGACATTTCACACAAGAGAGACAGGACAAGACACACAGCCCCAGAACTCACCTCATCCTATCGCTCCACAGACCTCAAAACCTTTCGTCCCTAGTTACTCGAACTAATCATCTTGGAGCCTCACACAAGCACAATTAACGCCAGTCCGCTTAGGAGCACACAGCAACCGTATGTACGCCCACCAGTACACATACAGCCGCCATCCTATGAGCCGCACAGTGTTTCTTTTGCCAAACGCACAGCAGGGTTAGTGGGGATGGAAGGGAGGGGTGCTGTTAGTTATTGTACGGGGATGAAGGGATACCTTGATGATATAGAGGAGAGGGGATTACACGGTTGAAGTGCCCTTTTGGCTAACAACGTGTTTAATGGCAAGACACAGTAAGAGTGTAAGGTTTCTTTCTTCCCCCCTCCCCTAGTCTACTCTGTCTCCTTCCTTAGAGCTCTTTCGTCCTCTCTTTGGACTCAGACTCGGTCCTTTCAATCAATCAATCCCTATCCCTCCCTGTCCACCTGCCTGCCTGCCTTGCCTGCCTGTCCCCCTCCCCGCCTGGTCTCCCCCGGCGCGGCGTCCACCATAGCCGTGTCACCACGCCAGCCAGCTATTATGCTATGTATGTTATGGCCCCGCCGTGTCCATCTTATTCTTTTTTGTATTTTATTTTTTAAAAAGAATTCCACTTTCATCCCTCCCCCCGCTAGAGAGAAGTGCTAGCTGTCTATATACTGTACTTCTTACCAACCGCAGACGTCCACGTCCTCTCTGCTGTTTCCTTCCCGCCATCCCCTCCACCCTGCCTTCAAATTCTTCCCCTGCCCTTTTGACACTGCACCCCTCCACCCTCCCCCCCTCTCCCACTCAATTCACCTCCCGGAAGAATTCGTTGTGTGCGCTTGGCAAAGTCTCTCGATAAGCGATAGACGATCCCCCGCAAATCCAAAAGTACATGCCATCCTGCAGCTCTCCGTCTCATAACTAACTTCTGCTCCTGCACACTACGTATTGCTTAACGACTAGACTGCTTGCTCTTTTTTTTTTTTTTTTTTTTTTTCCCTTCCCTTCACTTTCTCTCTCTACCTTTCACCTCTTCCTCTTCCTCTTTCCTCTCCCCTCCCCCTCCTTCCCCTTCTCTTCTTCTTCTCTTTTCTCCTCCTCCTCCTCCTCCTCCTCCTCCTCCTCCTCCTGTCATCTTCTCCGTCAGCCTTGTGAATCTCCGTTTCTGCCTACTTCTTTATCTCCTCTGACCCCGCCCTCCACTTCTTCTTCTTCAGCTGCTCGACCCCTCTATTTACTGTCTGTCTTTCCAGCTTCTTCCATCTGGCAGGCATAGCCAACACAAACTCTATCCAGAGTAAAATCAACCTTCACCTAAAGCTTCACTCAACGCTACCCAAGTAGTAGAATCAGCACTAGTAGTTGTGAGTGTGAGCTCTCAGCAGCAACCAACCTAACGAGTATTATATAAATATTCACCACAGCAACCACAACTGCCCCACCAAAAAACAAACTTGGAAAGAAAGAAAAAAAAAAACTTCAAGATGACTACTCCCCCCTCCGTCCTCGAGCCGGACTGGAGCATGGTCTGGGAATCCCATATCCCGCTCACATCTACAAGTGCGGATTTACATATGAGTGACTGGTCCGCATGGAGTGCCAGCCATGTCAGCAGCAGCAGCAACAGCCCCGAAGCCTTGCAAGCTCCCCTCTCCCTCCCATTACCACCACTGCAGCCACCCCTGCAACCACAGCAGCAGCAGCAGCAGCCTTGCCAGCACCCCACCACAACCGTCGCCGCCCCTCCATCGAAGCGTCGAAAAAGCATCGGTGGCATGTCCGTGCGGCTGCCTATCCGGAAATCTATATTGCGGAACCCGAACTCTTCGCCGGCGCCCAGAAGAACCCCGAAAACTAAAGCAATCTCCTCACACATCCCCTTCGAGATATGGCTGGAGATCTTCTCGTATTGTTCTCCGGCGCAGCTGGCGAAGCTCCGTCGGGTCAATTCCAGCTTCAAAGGATTCATAGACGATGAAAAGATTTGGGCAAAGAGTCGGCGAAATACATTCCCGAACTATCCGGACCCTATCTATGGCTACCCAGAGAACTACATGTGGAATCTGTTAAAAGGCAGTGGATGCGTGATTTGCGGGGCGCCTAGGTTTAAAAAATGCTACTGGACTTGGGGTATTAGGCTGTGCACTGCGTGTTTTAAGGATAATAGGATCAGGGTATGTGTCTGATGTTTTCATTTATTTATTTATTTCATTCCCGGAGGTGATGTCGGATGGAGGCTAATGCTTTTTGGTAGGGTGATGAGATTTCTGGAGAGCGCGATTTTGTCAATGCTGCGCAAGTGTGTCTAAGGCATTGTTTCGTGTCGGGTGAGCCCCCCTACTCCTGAAACACGCAGCACATCAAACATGTCTGTCGGTTGAAATTGCAAGACCTAAAAGTCTTACTCATTGTTTGATTTTCAGGGAAATTCGTTTCGACTCAGCGCGGGAACTACTATGGTCTCGGCGGGGGAGACCCGTGCTACTGGAAAGACGAAGTGACCGCATTTAAGATTGCCTATGATGAGAAGAAGAGCCAGGAAGCCGAATTCCCGGGCATCCTCGCTACTTTTATCGAGTTTGAAAAGGACCAGGTTAAAGTTCAGATGGACTTGGCGGTAAAGATGTGCGACTTCGAGAGAATTGGTATGACCTTGGGATTTAACATCACCTGATACGTTTATAAGTCCCTAACATGTGCTTTTAACAGAAGCTGTAAACCGCCGCGAGGAACTCGCTGAAATCCGCCGTCAACGTCTTATCTCAATCCCGGAGAAATGCAAAGAACACTTTGAGCCTCCAATTCCCGAGGGCGTCCTTGAACTCATCCCGTCTTACCAGGCTGCGCTCAAGGCTGGTAATATTCTCACCGACCGAGGCTGGAAAACGCTGGTTACAAAGATCACAACCGAACGAACAAGAGCCGAGGCGCAGTACCAACAACGCCAACAAGAGAAAGAGCAGGCACATCGCAAGTACACAAGCATCAGGCGAAAAGTCCGTAAAGAGGAGGCATTAGACTACAGAAACCTCCGGGAGCTCAAATCTGCCATGCCAAAGCTGTTGAAGTATGCTAAAGATTTTATTAGAAGGGAAGGTGGAGTTCTTCTTCTTGAGTCCAGAAAGGTTCAATCTTTCATCATGGAGACATTCAAGTACTGCAGACGTACTTGGTATGAGAAAAACCCCAAGAACCCCCTGCCATTCAGGGCAGCATACTTCATCTGGGAAGAGGTAATCGAGGAACTATTTAACCGTGGTGGGTTCGATGTGAAGTTTTGCTGCGAGTACTGTACGATCCTAGGAACGTGGGAGGAGATTATTTTTCATCTCGCAATGGATCACCAAAAGAAGCCAGGTATGCAAGGGCTTGCGAGATATCCTGTGGAGTTTCAACCGGAAGAAAAATACACCTACAAGAGACCTATCCCGAACTGGGATGGCGCTGAATGGCCAGAAAAGATTCCGATCTGTGCCGGAGGACCAAAGTTTTTCCCTAAATACCTGAAAGCTGCCCCTCCTAAGCCTGTGATATCAGCTAGCACCTCTACAACAGGCTCTCCGAAACCCAGGAAACCAAAAAAGCCCGGAACAAGGGATGATCCAATTTGCATGTTTGCGAGCAACAGTTGTACTATAAAACCGCAAACTTCAACACGCATGCTTATCCTCCGCGCCATCACGGAACTCAATGACCTTCATGTCCCCCCCTTCTTCCAACTATCCATATTCTTCAAGAAGATTGTGCTAGAGTTCAAACGCTACAAGTTCCGCGTGGAATTCAATGAACTCTACTACGAGTTGATCCGGATCTGTAGCAGGCCTGAAAAGACTCCTGCATGCTTCTCCCACGATTCAATTATGTGCCATACATGCTTATGCTCCTGGGAGGGAGCCGAGAGCAGCATAATCACGCTCATGCAGCACTTCTTCGAGAAGCACCACCAGGTCAAGGATTGGCGAAAAGACATGCTGCTCATGCCCGGCCCTCCAGATATCCTTGATATGTTCCAAAAACTTAACGACCGCCAGATGGAATACCGTTGGGATCAGAGAGCAACAGAACACCAGCTTGACACAAGCTCTGCAAGAGAGAAAATGACCATTGCAGATCAAAACGGAGATGTTTTGTGTCCGATGGAACAGCTGAAGAACATCATCGTGCTGAAGCAAGGCACCAATATTTTTGAGGGCATTGAACGGAAGAATGGCGAGCTCCACATCCGGGATGAAAACAACAGCATGGACAGGAAGAGGAAGCGGGAGGCCGGAGAGGCTTTTGACGAGGATGTGCAAGGAGAAGGGAGTGATAAGGGGAAGGAGAGTGATGGATCCGAATTTTCTTTTGAGGATTTTATCGCGGAGAGTGAGGATTGGGAGCTTGGCAGTTCTGCAGACTCGTTCGGTGAATTTGATGATGACCTCTGCGGGATTGACTCCGAAACCTGGGTTGAAGATGATGACCAGATGGAGCTCAGCGATATGATGTTCGCTTAATACTCCAAATAGGATCGACTAATGACGAGAATTGGCAGTATGGTTTAGGAGGAACCCAAATAAGATATAGCGGATTTCATTTTAAGTTTGTGTGCTGTTTTTCTTTTTTCCCTTTTTTTTTTCCCCCTTTCCTTTTTTCTCACGATCGAGAGAGAAAAGTTTGCATGGCGCATTTGATTTGGACGGTTGGTCATAGATTGATGGTATTATCCTTATTTCTTTGCTCTCTCCATAGAAGGTTTCCTTTTTTTCTCTATTGTTTCCGAGGGGGACTAGGTGCCCCCACTATTTCACGTTATCATCTCGGGGGTCTCATGGGTTTTCTTTGAATTAATTTCCTTGACTTTTTTCCTTTCTCTTGCTTACTTCTCTGGGAAATACTGTGCGGGGTGTTATTGTGGGTCATCTATTTTCTTGCTTTATTTACTGGGAGGGGGTGTTTTGATTCAAGGACTTTCTTCTCCGGTACACGCCCTTGGTTTGCTGCTGCTTCTTTTTTTTTTTTTTCTTTTTTCCTCCTCTCATGGTTCAATGTTTTCTTGTGGATCTATGGCTTGCTGGTTAGATTGATACAACTCTTGTGTGTGTGTTTGGGCGGTGGCGGTGGATGCGTGCGCGCTGCGTTTATCCCTATCCGACTAGTTTGTGGTTAAGCAATTTTACTGGATTTGAGCAGGCACTTGTGGTATTATTTCGGGGGTGTCAATTTGTGAACATGGGATGAGATTTAGGAGGAGATTTGTGCTAGATTTAATAAAATAAGAAGTAACTAATTTTTTTTCTTAATTTACAACTAGTTGGGTTTAGCCCGGTGCTGTCAAAATGATGGAGTGGTTCATGAATTATCACTCGGTTCCTTTTTCTGACTAGTGGTAGCGCTGTGTGGGTTGGGGTTTGTTTCATAAAGGAGCGACTAAATATCCCGCACGTGCCAGCTTGCTTGGTTTGACGATCTTGGGATGAACTATAGCTACCAAGCATCGGCCATATTGCTCACCACAGGCAGCAAGGCTACAAGTGCATTCCCGTTTCACACAATATCATGTGCGCATGCGAAGCTCAGTTAAGCTTTGTGGGGGGTTGATTTTATAAACATACACTCCGTCTGCGGATCTGGGGATAAACAAGAAACATTAAGTGAGTGAGTTGTTATTTATCGCCCTAGTACTCGATCGGCACATTTTTTTAGTTACTCTTTATTTAGCACATGCGCGTGAGTGGGGGTTATCGCTCACTTAAAGACTCAACGCTCAATACTCAAAGTTAATTAGCTCACAACTCAGCGTCCCCAGCGTCCCCAGCGTCCCCAACCCCCCCAGTGAAGTCTCAGTCAGACTGACCACAAGGTTCTTATCGAGTATTACTGTAACTTCCGGTGGTGCTCGTGCATGGAGTATCACTCGTGCCAAGCCAGATGGACATGTGGGAACGGTAAAGTGCACGGCATGTCAATGTTTCTGTAGTGCTATCTAGAGAGTTTTCAGGCTGATGGAGGCTAACATTCTTCGGGGCGGACAGTGGACGACGACTTTAAGGTCTATGAGATGAGAATCTACACTCTTCAATTGGCGGGGTTGTAGTACTGCCGCACATGTTGAGTGGAGATATATACGGCTATGGGGGCGGTGAATGTGTTAAAAGTAATTTTACTAACGGTAGTAAATTATTTTACCACCGGTAGTGAAAAATAATACCAGAATTTATACCCTTATAATGCTAGTTTTTATGATAAAAGCACAGACCTTTTGGCCTAAAGGGGCCATATAATGCCAATGCATATTAAAATTGTCCACTGGCGCATGGGGAATTTCACCATCGGTGGCGGTATTTCACCATCGGTGGGGGAAATTTTCATAAGTTTTGGCATTAATGATTGGACAGTTACTTATAATTATTTAGTATAGCGCAGCATAAAGACCGAAACCCAGTGTTTATACCGGTGGGGAATGTACTAATGTACTAGGATAGCGTGACACAATGACTGAAATTCAGTGCTTATACCACCGGTGGTAAATAATTTACTGCCGCGGCGTTGGTAAAATTACTTTTGACACATTTACCGCTCCATAATACGGCCACCCTGTTACTTCGGCGGTTAGTGTTAGTATATGATACCCTCCGTTTCTTTTGTCTGTCTGTGAATAAGATAGAGGACTGATAGGGCATATACACTGGTGGTTTTTGCAGCGAGGTGGGGCTGGATATGAGTCTATCTCTCAGACACACGTGCACTACTACCACTATTAGTATCTAGGATTCTGCGAGGTTTTGAGGTTTTGAGGCGTGGGGCATGGGTTATACTTTTTATACCGTTGTAGATTAGGCGGCTACTGTTTGTGCTTGGTCTATTGAGTGGGGTGGTTCTAGCTAGGCCTATGGGCCTTTTTGTTCGCTAGTGTGTGTGGTCTCTGTACCATCCTCCCCTCAAAACAGCGGTCTGCGCCCAACTAGTACTCCAACATCAACAGCATAATTCTATTAGCACACAGAAGGCCGTCTCAACGATACCTTTTGGGCCATCCTATACCCTGGGCTTAGATACTCGCATCCCATGACACCTGGAAAGATCTACTATAGGCCCGTTTATCCACTACTGCAAGGTGGTCTAGCAACTGTGTCCACAGTCTGGCCTAGATAGACGTGCCAGCTTTATGTGTATAAGTAGATCATAGGCTTTCATCTTCCTTCGTTCATCCTATCACCTGTTGAGTCCTCCTGCAACTGGCCCACCTGCGCACGCGCACTGTTAGGCTCTAACAGACGACACCAAAGGCAGCTAGCTACCTGCATATACAAGCTGTATCAGATGAGATATTATTAGGCTCTTGCCAGACGAGAATATGCACCACATGTCACTTCGGTACATGCGTCATTCTCGATAAATTGCATCCTAAAAAGAAATCCCCTGAGAAAGACATAGGGTGTCGATATTATAGTAAGTTAATTGTTTCCTGACAGCTCACTCTCACGAGCCCCACCCCGCCCCCCTCTTCTTCAGTCATCAATCAAACACTAACAATCCCGCCGTATCCAGCCTAGCTACGTTGTAGCAATAGGAATAGACCATCCCCCGCCCCGATCTGGACTCTACTACTAGTACTAGTAGTAGTAGTAGTAGTAGTAAGTGAATGAATGAAAGTAGCTAGACCGCACCAGCTACAAAACAATGTGTCAATGATATCTCCCCACTTTGCCCCTTAGAGCGCGATTCCTAGTTGTCACACAGATCAACGCTGGCCTGCAACGTGACACAGGCTGACGCCCAACGCGGCCTAGCCCCGTCACCCTTGCAACAACACGAAGTCACCTCTTTCTCCCGCCGCAAACACCTTCGCTCACCTCACTCATTCTCGCGACTTCAACCTCACCACCAGGCACTCAGCGTCAATCTTGGTCCACCAGGCCACCACACACCACACACCACACACCACGCACCACAATGGCGTCCGCCTACAACCTGGAACCGCAGACAAAGTACGCCCCTCTCCCCACGCCTCTTCCCTCCTCCTCCCTCCTCCCTCTCTCTGCCCTACTGACCCACCCACTCTTCCCAGTGCCAAAGTAATCCTGCACACCAGCCACGGCGATCTCGACCTCGAGCTCTGGGCCACCCAAACGCCCCTCACCTCCCGCAACTTCCTGCAACTCTGCCTCGACAACTACTACACAAACACGACCTTCCACCGCCTCGTCCCCAACTTCATCCTGCAAGGCGGCGACCCTACTGGCACCGGTCATGGCGGCGAAGCAATCTACCCTGGCGGTCTCTTTGAGGATGAATTCCACTCCCGCCTCCGCTTCAACCGCCGTGGCCTTGTCGGCATGGCTAATTCGGGCCGTCGCAACGACAATGGCTCGCAGTTCTTCCTGACGCTCGGGGACACAAAGGAGCTGACGGGGAGGAATACGATGTTTGGCAAGGTGGTGGGCGACACGCTGTATAACCTGGTGAGGATGGGGCAGGGCGAGTGTGAGGAGGGCACGGAGAGGCCCGTGTATCCGGTTACGATTACGGGGGCGGAGGTGGTGGTGAATCCGTTTGAGGACATGAAGCCGCGTGAGGCGGCTGTAAAGGCTGGGACGCTGGAGGAGGAGGAGAAGAAGGCTGCCGCGGGGAAGAAAGCTGCTGCAGGAAAAAAGAAGAAGGGAAAGGCGCTTCTGTCCTTTGGCGGCGATGAGGAGGAGGCAGAGCAGCAGCCGGTGCTCAAAAAGCCGAAATTCAACACCCGGCTCGTAGTCGCCGCACCACTATCGGAAGAGGCGCCAGAGAAACAGGCGGAGAAGAAAATCTCGGAGCCGACAAGCACGGGGGCAAAGAACGCCATCACAACGACAGAGACGGTTACGACTGTGACGTCGAAAGATACCGACTCCCTCGCTGACCCAGACCCAACACCCGTCCGCGCCCGCTCGCCCGCCCGCTCGCCCTCCCGTACGCCCTCACCGCCACCGACGCGCCAGGCCTTGCAGCTCGCAGAAACTAACGCCCAGATCGCGGCACTCAAACAGTCTCTCCGCCGCGACCGCGACACACCCGCTACCACCACAACAGCTACAAAACCCAAGAAATCACTACTGGCAATCCAGAAAGACCTCCTCCCCGCGACATCCATCAAAGGCCGCAAACGTAAGCGCGACACCACTAAAGACGACACCACTAAAGACGACGACGAGACGCTCGCCGCGCTAAAACGCTTCCAAAAGAAGCTCTCCACCGCCTCCTCCTCTGCCCCCCCTACCACCTCCATCAACTCCCGCACAACCAAAGACACTGCCCCCATCGCCGACAAAGACGCCACCAGCATCTTGGACGAAGACGACGAAGCAACCCTCTGCGACCTGCACTTCATCCCGAACTGCGCCTCCTGCGGCCTCTACGAGCGGCCCTCCCGTAGTCCTAGCCCGGGTGCCAGTGAGGCGCTGTGGAACCATACGCTGAGCTTTGAGAAGGATAGACTAGGCAAGGATCTTACGTGGAAGCGCAAGAATGAGGAGCTGATTATGATTGATCAGCGGGAGAAGGAGAAGAAGATTTTGCAGTTGGGGAGGAGGAGGGAGAGGGGTGGTGGCGGCGGCGGCGGCGGCGGTGGTAGTGGTGGAGGGACGGAATGGGGGAAGAGGAGGGGTGAAGGAGGAAGGGGGGGTGAGAGGGGAAGGGGTGGAGGGAATCGGGGTGAGAGGGGAAGGGGCGGAGGGGATAGGGGTGACAGGAGGGGTGGTGATAGGGGTGATAGAGGGGGTCCGAGTCGAGGGCCTAGGAGGTAGTGGTGATGATTATAGAGGGGCTTTGTGTTTTTTTGTATTGAATAGCTTTTTCAGGTGGTTAGTCGGTTAGCATAGGACTTCTGAATAGATTGGGTTGCTAATTATCAGTCTTTTGTATCTGTTCCATCCCAGTCGAAAACACTGATTATTGACCAATTTGCACAATTGGTGAACGAGCTCTTATTTTTCGCTTACGGGGCATTTTGATATATAATTCTCATCTCTTTCGGTGGAAAGTCGCTGGCCCCAGTTAATTAGCTATTCATTAAAGAAATATTTATTTGCATTACTTATGTAGCCCCAGGACGGTGGTATATCGGGGGCAAGGGTACAACATGTAGGTAGAATGTGTTCTTTGTTTCTTAAGGATCCTAGGAAGCATTGGTCAATATGCAATATTTGTCAACAGGACGGCCAGTTAGGCAATGTGATATACTCGTGACTGGGACGGAACATATCCTTTCTTTCTACTAACTACAAGTAAATATGTATTATTATCGCTGCAGTTGTTTTACGCCCCTTTATACCAGAAATCGATATATTCATTATGGTACATGTACACCCAACACCGGAACAGCCATATATGACACGGCAGTCTCTGCAAGTCCCAGCCTCAGCAAAAAGCCCATATCCTTCTAGCGAGGCCCAGGGGAAAGGACCAACCTTCCCCATCCCAATTTCCAGGTCCGGCCTCTTTTATGAGATACATACGATACGGGAACATGCGATGTAATCCACACCGTACGCGTTAGTAGTGCGCGGCATTATATAAATACCGAACCAACTGCACAATATGCTGCATGCCCGAAATACCGTAAGAAAGCTGCACCACCACCGCAGTCAAGTAGCATGCCAATGAATCCCCCGAAAAATTTCACCAACCTTTCCGGCCGGCACTGCATGTATGCTCCCCCCTTGGCAGAAACCCAATTAACAAAGCAACCTGGAGATCAAGCCAGCCTATATCTCAATCTCCTTTGCTCTTTACCATACCTCCATCTTCTGCCCCAATTATCCCCCATGCACTTCTCAGCCGTGGCAGAACCACAGAAAATCCAAATTCGATCTTTTCCAAACTAACCTAATCAATCCGAATCTTTTTCATATATATCAATTATCATGGTTTTCATAATCAAATCCAATCTAAATAATTTTTTGTCTTGGAGTGGGGCTTGGCGTGCGAGTGATATCTCGTGATTCGTTGGTCTTGTAATTAGATCATATTAAGTTGAGAGGCGCGATCCTCTTCTCCGTCTTCTTCGCGTACAATGGTGCTAAATGGAGTACATGTAGGATAGTCATGGAGATTGGGAGAGACACCCGGTTTACCGGTTGGCCGGCCGCGGGTTTTGGGGGGGGAATTGATATCCAGCCATGGCCATCACATGTGCCGGTCGAAGCGCTATATAGTTTCGCGCACGCTCCAGAAGAAGAGGTCGGTATATCTGGGTCTCTAGATATGTAGCTGATAAGTCGACCAAAGGCCGACAATATATGTGTCGGTGCCGTTTCATCGGGGAGTCCCCGGGTATTTATATCATGTTGCGGTGTGCCGGTGTACTGGTATACGTAGTTTCTAGTCCATGCGTGAACACGCCTGGCCGACAGCGGAACATGCCAATTCCCGTATCCCCTCATCCGGGCAACGGGTGCCTGGGATGTAACTCCTAGATGCCGGGTGGAGATATCTTCAGTCTGATCAGATTAAGCGGCGACCGCTCTTTTACAGCGGCACGATCCAACCCACCTCACCCGCCTCACCTCACCCGCCTCACCTCACGACACTGTTGAATATCCTCTTCCTATCCCCGCATCGGCCTGAGGCCCGGAGCAGCTCCGAGTACGCAGGCCTAGCCCTTCTGCGCCGGTCCACGAGGTGGTGAGCGGGCGTAGTTACCCCAATGCGGTGATACCACCGTATTCAAAGGGCATCTATAATCTAGGCCGCCTGAATATCGAATATATACTCATGATTAGACCAGCAGCCTGCAAGCCCAAAGGCTCTGATACCGCGCCGATGTAGAGCGGTACAAGGGGCCCTTTCCCGCACTCTCCGCATTAAGGACCCGGCCCGGATGTTTCCCGTTTGCGCGCCTGTTCGTTGCCGCCGCGTCTCTCACAGCCCGCGATTTATAGGGGTGGAAATGCCCCTGAGATTGGGACGGGCGGGTGCGGGCCCACCTAGGTAGTGCTTTGGCGCGGGCTTGGAGAGCTACCGGGGCAGGGCATATGCATCTCTATATCAACTCCCGCCCGCCTCCAGGCTGTCTTTGCTCTGCTGTACCAATATTTTATATCCCGCAGATCCATATCCATCATTCCGGTTCCCACACCTCAACGGTCCTGACTATATATGTATATCGCTCCTCCCCTTGACGGGCAAACATCCCGAAACAGCCATTTGCATGGTTGATACGCCGTTGGTTGCGTCAAAAACCCAACTTAAGCTTTCCAGCACAACAACCACAACCACAAGACAGCAGCAACCGATCATCACAATACCTCATCAACCGTGAAGTTACTCCAGGCACGTATCCCAAACCATCAAGTGCGGTGACCCAAAGTTTCCAGGGTAGTCAGTCCAAATATATTATTATATCTGATCACCACGAGAACACATCCAATCATGACCCCTCACTCGACCCCCAGCTCGAAAAAAAACAAATAACACAGCCTCGTATCCGTCAAGCGAGCCGGGGTAAAACATGCAGCACCCACGACCTATCGCCTTGTTCTGCACCGCCTATTGGCGTTCCCATCCCCTCCCACCCCATGTTCAGCCTCATGCAGCCTCCTATTCCTGTACCCACGGGGCACGCTTTCTAGAAGCGGGATTTACATGTTTTAACTTTAGAGTTTTGCGATGTGGGTTGGCGAACTGGGGTGTGCGAACTTGTTAAATACGTCGGTACATGTGCGTCCTGCACCTTTTCGAGATGGAAATCCGCCAGGAAGAAGCAAAGCAAACCAAGCCCGCCATGGAGACTGAGGAGGAAGGCTTTCAGAAATGGTGGTGCGAGGCAAAAATACTCTCAAATCCCGACATCAGCGGGATCGGTGTGAGTTGTTGTGCCCGCCTTTCCTCCCTCCCCCCACGTTGCCTTCCAGCGTATCATTTTCCCCCACAAACGCTAACTTGGCTTATCCGCTAACTTGGGACTTATCACGACTACTACAGGTGATCTCCGCCTTCTTCGTGCAAGGCTTTCTCGCCAGCCTAATCGGCATCTGCATGTACTACTTCTCGGGCCGCTGGAATCGCCTCATCACCTTCCCGCCCCTCGCCTACAAATACCTCCGTGCTGGAGGGCACCTTGGGGGTCTCCCCACGCTTCCGCGTTCCCTCCACCCCGCGAATCCGCTCCGCGCGGCAATGATGACAGACATCATCCTGCTGACCTCGGACATGCAGACCCTGTCTGGAATCGCCCTGATGGTAGCCTCGCTGTCTCAGTTCCCTAAGCTAAGTGCCTATCACGCTATCATGGTTGGGAACATGGCGTGGATCCCATCGCTATCACATCATCTGGCCATCATGTACGTTTGGGACGAGAAGCCGTATGGGCGGTTCAATATAGTGCGGTATGCGGCGGTGGCGCTGTATGCTGTTTTGTACGCTGTCTACTGCGGCTTGACGTACACGAGTGTTCGGCGGCGATGGGACCTCGAGCAGGATTGTTTCCGCGCGTGTAGTGCTAAATATTGTGTTGGTAGCTATACTGAGCGGGATTCACTACTGGGCTGGGTCCTGGTCAATCTTGTCTTTTTCGTGTGTGGCTATCTACCAACTATTTGCGGCATCTTTGTAAAGATGTTCGTGAAAGGGTCGTGGCCGTGGATGAGGCTCGCTGGAGACCTTGTGTTTTCAGCCGCCCTCTGTCTGCCAGTCATGATCTTCTGGACGGTTTTTACGCTGTGTGGCGTGTTAGGGTATCGTAAAGCAAATAGGGAGTTGCTAAGTGAAGATGCGGAGGAGAGGTGGGGGTTTGGACAAGTTGTTGCGGTTGTATCGTTGCTGCTTGTGGTGTTTGAGTTTTGGAAGTCTTATGTTAGTAAGTTCCCCCGTCTACAAATATGCCTTTTGAATAGATATGAAAGCGTGTAAATTCATCTATGAGGGAGAATAGTTTCAGTGCTAATCAATGATTGCAGAATATAATGAAACGAGTCCAGAGGAGGACCCGGCGCTTTGTAAGTGCACGTGTTTCTGCGGAAAGCGAGTCGATAGCTTTTCCACTGTGGAGAGTGGAGGCATGGTTTCTGTAAACTTTTGAGAGTTACATGTAGTATAATGTATGTATCGAATTGTAAATATCTTCCTGGGGCGCTTCCCTAGAAGGGAAGCCGAAATTAAATTGCCGCTGGCTAAACAAGAGATGAGTGGAAATGACCCCAAATCTAAGTAAATTTGCCCCAGTCAGCAGGAACTTGACACCTCAAACACATTTGATATATATTTTGAATAACTACTTCGTCCTATGATGTTGGGTTTGGCGTGACCCAGCTCCTCTACGACCACACACGGCCAAGAACTTATTCCAATGACCGAGGCCAAGTATATATCACTCCTATCACAACCACTGCTCGAGTCCTGTGCTAAGATGGTTATTTATATAAAGGAAAAGTGAGGCCTATGCAATCGATAGAAAGTACATACCATGCTCGACGCCTTTTCTTTTTGGTTGGATATTTTCTCCGCTACAGGGACAATTGAAATATAAAATAAAAGTATCCCATTATATTACCTCTTCCTTTACTTGTCTTGGTTACGGGATACAACTCTGGGGGTCTTTCCTGTATTAGCCGTCGATATCAGTTGCCGATATAGGTAATTGATATTCGTGATCGATATCTTAAAACTGGGTGTCCTTATACGTACATATAGCTTCTGATAAGTGGCTCCTGCAGATCCGAAAATGTGAGTATGTAGATTCTCAGGTGACTGAATTCAAATAGAGTGGCTTGCCATGGGGGTTTTCAGATTGATCGAAAGATAGCACTAATGCCGGAAGAGATCTTTACCAACGTGGATTCAACAAAAATGAAAAGCTTAACAGCACGTTCTGCAGTGCAGTGTGGATGAGGAGGGAGGGGTAGGTACGTCAACACAACCAATAAGATGTGCAGAATTTCTGTCCAAGCTCTCAACTTGCGCATACAAAGCGTCCTGTAGAGTATTATAACTTCTATATTCAGAATCGAGGAATAACGATGCCATGATTTCAAAAAAGAAAATAGAACCGGAACCGTTTTAAGTCTCGGGACGAATCTTGGGACGAACTTCGGGACGAACCGCCCTTACCATGTCCGAACCATATTCCATGAAGAGACTAGGCAACCCAACCTACACAACCGGGTAAATCCGTACGCACCGACGAATTGGATTCCACATTTGGATCAAATAGATATGCTTCGCCACATATCTACCCTCTACATATCAGATCAGATCCCATCTCATCTCAAAGGATTGCAAGGTGTCCTTCCTCCCCAGGTTAGAAGAAAGTCTCAAGTGCCAATGATCCAGTGGCTTTTCGGGATCGACGCAACCCATGATAGGGGCACAGTACTTTCCGGGTCCGAGGGGCGGAAACCCGTGGGTCAGAATTGCGGTACGTGAGAGCCTCTCTCCCCTTTTGTATGTGCCGTCGCGTATCTAGGGTAGGTGGGTAATAGAGTCTTAGACATGCTTTACCCAATCTTGTCGCGTCGTCTTGCCTTAAGTGATGGACCTGCCTGTCGGTTTCTTTTATTTTTTTGTGACCTGGACCTTTTCCCTTAGAGCAATCTCCATATCGATTGCCTGTAGATGGCATGCGTGTACTGTGCCGGTAATGAGCTTGTCTGTCTGTCCGCATTCATATCCAGCTATATTTTCATAGCTCAACTCATCTCACAGGTACATACCTGAAGGTTGCTGAACGTTAATCGATCAGCCAGTCATCCAGTTAGACCGTCCGGGGATGATTGAGGCGGCGGATGGACGTGTGTTGGGGGTAATTGGTCATGCGACTCGACTCTGGTTCTGGCTCTTGGTACTTGGGTTTAGGTATCATATTTAGATACACAAATAGTCTTGGTGGGTTTTGTGGAGAGACAGCTCCGAAATCACCATCCATGGGGAGAGGCACTCTAGAAGTTCTCGAAGATGTGGGCAATCATCCGGAATTTATCTCATACCTGGGCTGCATATCTAGTGTATTTATGCAGCGGTAACAGAACCCCCTCCAGCCCTGACAAATCTCCGTAGATGGAGTCGAGAGTAGGTAGAACTGTACCTACGAAGAGAGTAACGTACTTAATCCTGTGGAGTATACAGATGTAGGTATAACTGTCCTAGACGTCCGCAGAGTAGAGAAATTTCCCTTTTAGAAAATATTCCCAAAGAGGGGAACCCAAAATGGTCGACGCATCCCTATCAGAAAGTAGGAATCCTGAAAAAGGATCATAACAACACCCCTTCCATTCCAAGTTCCCACACCACTCATCATACTCGCACGTGATAAGAGTAGACCCAACAGATGCACGGGACGACATGCATGGTGCTGGTTTCTTTCTTGGTAACACATTTGTTCCTTCCTTCATTTGCTCGTTCTGTTTCTCCTTTTTATTTCCTTTTTCTTAGGTTCGGGATTGGATAGCATGTAGGGAAGCACCGGTAAGTTGTAACGGAAACTTAGTTTTATATATGTATGATTATGAAGATTTGATTTGATTTGGTCTGATTTGGTCAGGAAGTCTTGATTGAATACCTTGAAATTGTACTGCACTTGTTTTTGGATACTCTAAACTCGGAGACTCGTAGAGTAGATATGTAGTTTTATAAGCCAAGGTTCTTGACTATTTTTCGGTACATCGGATGCACTGCTTTTTCTTCTCGACTTCCCTTCCTTCATGCTGAGTGGCCCTTAATGTAGGCTGGCAAGTCGTGATCGTGAGGATCGCGATAAGTCTTATGCATATGTTGTTTTGGTCTTGGTTTTGTTTTGATTTGTGTATCATGAAGAAGAAGAGAAGAACCCGGAGGTTTCCTGCACCGCACAGCACAACTGGCGTGATCCATCCCGACAGAGAACTTCTGTATGGCCTATGCAGGTAGTTTTCGTTTCGTGGGCACTACCTACGGCGGGACACCGACAGACAGGGTATAAAATGTGGTCCAAGCGGGGAATGAGGAAGAGAGTATTTGTTCTAGCGTGATAGAAACCTTTTTTTTTTTTTTTTTAAATCATTTCAATTTCTGTTTCTAGGTACACAATGATCGCGTAAAGTATAAACTATGGCGTAAAGAAACCTATCCCCTAACAAACATATAACTCGTCCCCTAATAAAAGCAAAAACAGAATTCCAAAAATAAAAATATAACAAAAGAAAGAAAAACGCATATAAATAACAGTGAACAATTTAGAGGGAGGGCTAGGTGCCTTTCCCTGTGAAATCCTTCTGGCCATTGGCCTCATGCTCTCAATGAGACTTTACTAGGATGCATAAGCTATGGGTATTGGGCCCATGATTGGTATTGTTGATGTAGAGGAGGAGGAGACTGAGCTGAGGGGGGATGAGGTTCCTGAGCCTGATTCGAGTGGTGAGGGTCCCCGGCTGACTGGGTAGCCTGTTCTGGTTTTGGTGATGTAGGCCCCTAGTAGGAGGGTAAGGGTGTGGTTGTCCCAGATTTCCTCAAGGGATGTAACTCCATCTAAGGTTTGGGAGCGGGTGAGTGCAGAGGCGTTGCATTGTAGTATGGCATGGTCGGGGGTCTCGTCTTCGAGGCTACATTTTCGGCATTTGGGCGAGGTGTGTAGGTTGATCCAGGATTGCTGCGCACGTAGGTAGCTCTTTCCTGATCTTATTTGGTGGATTCTTGTGGCGATAAACTTATGAAGGTGTGTAAAGGGTAGGGGGGATGTGTCTAGTCTGTGTGTGTAGTAGTTCGGAGTTGGGAAATGGGTGCGCCAGTTATCCAGCAGTTGTTGCTTGGCTCTATAAGCCATCTTGCCCTGGTCTATGCCTTCCTCTATCAGGGGGAGGAGCAGGGAGCAGAGGTGTTCAATAGGTGTATGTGCTACACCTTTCTTCGCTCTGGAGTTCCATTTCTTTGGTGGGTTGGGCCGTCCCTTAAGGAGGGCGGTGTGTGAGAAGGTTCGGTCTCGCAGGGTGGTGGGGAAGTGGGGGTCTGTCCTTCCCGTTACTGGGTTTGCTAGTGGGGAGGCTCGGAGGATCCTAATGGCAAATTTGCACTTTAGGAAATGGAGGTATAGTATTAGGGGAGGGGCTTTTGCTTCTGCCCATAGGACGCGGTTATTGGTGGCTCTGAAGCAGCCTGTTGTCCATCTGAGGACTGCATTCCAGAAGGTATTCATTTCTCGGAGTGCTGATGTTGGGGTGAATACATTGGCTCCGTAGGTGAGCATGGGACGGATAGCGAGGAGGGCTACTTTCCTGCAGTTTGCGGGTGATAGGCCTTTTCCTGCTGAGGAGAAGCGGTTGAGAATGCCGAAGGCTGCTCTTGCGGCGGCCGTTCTTCTGATGAAATGGGCGTTGGGGTTAAAGTTGGGGGAGAGCCAATATCCGACCCATCGCACTATAGGGCTGGGCTGGAAGGCTTGGCCATCCAGGAATATTGGGAGGTGTGAGGTGGGGGATTTATCGCGTGGGGTTCTCCAGTGCATTAGCTCCGTCTTTCCCACCGAGAATGTGACGTTCTTGGGGGAGGCCAGAGCTGTAAGCTTGTTATAATGAGTCTGGAGTATGTCGATGTTTTCCCTATATGATGGGGAGGCCACTGTAATGGCCAAATCGTCTACATAGGAGAGTGAGATGCCGGGGGCGGGGTCGTATTGATGAAGGAAATTGATATAAATGAGGAAAAGAAGTGGTGATATTGGGGATCCTTGTGGGACTCCTACTTGGACGGCTGTAGGAATTTTAGGGGATCCTTTAAACAACAGCGTTATGTAGCGGTCGGATAGAAAGGAGAGGACCCAGTTCGTGATGTAGGGGGGGGTGTGCTTTTCTGAGAGGGTGGAGGCTAAGTGTTGTTTGAGGACGTGGTCAAAGCCCCCTTTAATGTCTAGGAAGAGGGTGGAGACTTTAAGTTTGGCCAGCTGCATGGCTCTGGTCTCGTGTATGAGTGTGGTGACTGCGTCTCCAGTGGACAAGCCGCTGACTGACCCGCATTGGTGGTTGTGGAGAAGTCCTACGGCTTTCGCTATCACGGCCAGGCGGAGTGTTATTATTTTTTCCAGGATCTTGGAGAAGGTCTGGAGGAGGACGATTATGCGGTATGCGGCAGGGGAGGAGTAGTCCGGTTTATTTGGTTTAGCAAGGATTACTCCATTGGCGGTTTTCAGGGAGAGTGGGTGATATCCATGTTGGATGAGCGGGTTGAGGAGGGCAGGTATTATGCGGGGGTTGGCCCTGTGGATACCTTTCCATACTGAGTATGGGATGGTGTCTGGACCAGGTGCTGAGAGGTTGGAGGTGGGGCCCAGAGCGGCTTGAACTTCGTTGGGCGTAATGAGGGGGGTGTTTGGGAAGAAGATGGGGGAGGGGGAGGGGCCTTCTGGTCGAGGGGGGAAAAAGGCGTTGATAAGGTTGTTGTTGAGGAGGGTTGGGGTGGGTGAGTTTGGAAGGGTGGGAATCTTGTCTTCCGTCCTGTTGGCCATTTTCTTTAGTCTCCACACGTCCTTTGTGTCGGCGTTGGCGATGAAGGCGTTCCAGTGGTCTTGTTTTGCTTTCTTTATGGCATTGAAATAGGCGTTGCGCGCTGCCTTCATCTCTGAGGGGGGGGCTCTGCCTTTTCTGAATGCTCTGTGTATTGAGTGAAAGATGGTTCGGAGCTGGGAAAGGTCCGGGGTCCACCATTTCTTTGACCATTTTGAGATGGTTTTTGGGGGCGTGTGTTGCTTGATCATGTCTGTGATGAGGGTAAGTGATTTATCGAACCAGTCATCCAGCATGGAGGGGGTGTCGCAGGCGGAGATTTGGGTGTTTTGGAGAGCGGGTGAGAGGAGGTTCCAGTTGGTGAGCGCCCAGTTTGGGGTAGTAAAGGGGGCGAAGTCTGCGTTTGGAAGGGCAAGTGAGATAGCTATGATCCTATGGTCAGAGCCCGAGGAGTTGGAGAGGGGGAGCCATTTCCTGACAAGCGGCGTAGCTCTGTGGTTGGAGAAAGCTATGTCGATGACTCCGTTTCTATGTGCTTGGTTGAGGGAGATTCTTGTATATGTTCCGGGGGTGTTGAGGATGGAGTAGCCTGCTCGGCTGGCGGTGTCCATGTATGGTTGGGAGAGTCTGAGTTCCCTGGCTGAGAAGTTTCTGGAGGGGTCGGTTGCGGGGTTGTGAATGTTTAGGTCTCCGACAGTGATTGCCGGGTTGTCTGTGGCGGGTAGGATAGTGAGGGGGTGGATAGACCGAGACCCATCTCTGCGCTGTCTGTTATAGCAGTTTGTGAGTGTTATTGTGGTGTATGTGTTGGGCCCGGTGCGGCAGAACAGGTTGGCGGATATGATGTCTCCTCTATGGGAGGGGGGGCTTGCGAATGAGTTTTTCTGTAGAAAATTGTTGTTTATATAGGTGCAGACAGAAATTTTGTCGTCTGTGGAGGTGGGGGTGGGGTATATTGCTGTGAAGGCGGGGACCGATAGAGGTTTCCCTTTAAGTAGTGGGGCTTCCTGGATGGCGACCGCGTGTGCTGTTTGTATCATAGGGATGGCGAAGAGGGAGATGAGAACATTATTGCTGTTATTACAGTTGTGTTGTATGATGCGTAGTGAAGGGTTTTCTTTGGGCGTGGTGCTCATTGATTAAGCCGTTTGGGTGGATGGGGGAGCTGAGTTGGCATCCGGCATGGGTGTTTCTGGTGATTCGGTGACTGACTGGTTGGTATCTGGGGCAGGGGTGGTTGGTGCGGCTGGTCTCTTGGGTCTATTATTCTCAATAAGGGCTGCAAGGGCTGGGCAGTTGTTGGAGGTTGAGGCATGGGCGCCATCGCAGTTTACGCATTTAGCGCGTACTGCTGCGCAGCATCCGAGGTTATCATAGCGGCGGCCATTGCAGTTGGCGGGGCAGGTGTGTTCTTGTTTGGTGTGGTTTCTTGCGCAGATGGGGCAAGTGTGGTGTTCTTGTTTACAGCCCTGTTCAGGGTGTCCGAATTTATAGCACTTCTTGCATTGTGTGATGGGGGAGGCGGACCACATGACTGTGCATTTGCGGGGTCTGGAGAGGATGCGGATTGAGGGACCGATTAGGGCGGCGTCGGTTGCCGAGACTGTGATTACAACGGTAGATGTTTTCCTGCTGTTGCGTTCGGTGTCGTTGGGATGAAGGAAGCGGGTTGCGATTGGGGCGATGCCGGAGGCGAGAAGGAAGATCTCGGGGAACTTGGCGTTCAGGTCCTCTTTTGTCTTAAGGTCAAAGAGAGGGATTCCGTGAATAGCGATGTCCACGTCTGTAGGAGCGGGTCTGAAGTTGTTGAAGGGGTTGTGTTCGGCGTTGACCCTATTATTAAGGATTGCGGTCATAGCTTCGAAGAATGGGGCATAGACTGATGAGGGGACGGTGGGGGCTGGGAGGACGGTGACGGCTCCTCTCTAGTTGATGGTGACGGTGAGCGCGGTGACCGGAGCGACTTGGTTTTGGGAGGCCATGAACTTTCCGAATGTAACTGATAGCTCGGCGGCCAGTGTTTCGCGTGATAGAAACCTTCTTGTCCGATATGATACATGTATTGGCCGCGGGAGGGGCCGGGTTTAGATGGTGGGGGAAGGGGCAGAGCTCAAGTCATCTGGTACTCTACCTAGCTAGGAATTTAGCTGGAGGGAAGAATTTGCTCCAGGTAGTGAGTGGGTGGAGGAGGTACAGTACCTTGTATGTAGGTGTTTCTTGTTGTTTCCTTTGCATGATCGTGATTTTTCTTTTCTTCTTTCCCCTTCTCTTGTTTTCTTCTTCCCTTTGTTCTTCAATCTGTCTGGATATTCTGGCGGGGCTGCTACTTTTGTCATGTCATGTCATATTGCTCTGGGAGGGAGCCTTGACTCGACATTAAGTGAGAAATTGAGGCCGCGCACGTCGGTTTCTTGGATGAGCCCTGTTCTATGGTACACGACAGCACGACAAGACTTCTATGGTCTGCCAGCTATATGGCAGGACGGGTACAAGTTACTTACATATTGTTTTGACCGCCACCCCTTGTAGCTCAGAGGCCAAAGCTGACTGGCTGGTTGTTGTCGGAGTTTTTGAGCCGTGGATAGTGTTTTTGCCGAGGAAGTGTGCATAAGCTGTACCTACATATTGTTCTTCAGTAGAATCTCGTCAGGCTGCCTGCATACACATAAAGCACATTCATAAAGTAGACTCGTAGAGTACATGCTCTACATAACTTATAAGTAAATTCACATGTAGCTACTCTAGAGTACTCTACGAGTGTTTGGCACAGGTAGAGTGCCTACATGTAGATACCTGATTACATGCAGTAATAATCTTATCCTGGAGAGAGTTCCTATTCTGTACATCGATGTACCATATGCAGTCCATCCGCTCATCCTCTCATCCACTGTTATTCGTTATTCTGGAGCTCCAACCAAGAGTGAGCAATCCGCCGAATGCTTGGCCATGAACGGGTAGGCCAAAGAGCCACAAGCGGCGCAAAGCGAGTTCTTTGGCTTTGCTGTAATACCTACAGCTCTCCATACTGTATCATCCCAGGCCCGATCTCAGGAGAGTTTGGATAGGGTAGCAATCTGTCTTTTTGGCTGTGACCCCCTTTCCTTCCTCTTCCTCTCGCTCCAATTGATGCTGCACTCTCCCACTTTTCCTCATTCTCCCCTCGCATCGCATCGCATCTAAATAGCCAACCAGACAGCTAGCCGTCGTTGTTGCTGCTCCCGTGCCTCTTAGCAGTATAATCCACATAACTTATGTAGCGTAGGAGATCCTTCCGTCATTCCCCAATAAGTTTTTACAAACGTTCAGCAAATTTATCTCCAAGTGGTCAGCCAGCTGCAGACTTCTCGAACGAGCTTGTAAAGGTTACACTTGATTCGCCTGTCTTCGTGTGCTCGTGCTTCTAGTGCATCTACTTTTTCTTTCGTTTTTTTCGTTTTTTTTCACACTCATTTCCCCCCAGCTTTGTTGCTGCCCGAACCGTCTCCCCCCCGTAGCTATTCAGACTACCCGTGCCCTCCTCCGTCGGCTCTGATCACACCTCCTTTTTCAATCAGACCCCCGTCACACTCTAACCACCCCTCCTCCACCCCCCTTCAGGACATTTCGCTCCTATTCATCTCATCACTCATTCATTCACTCTTCAACGCCTTCCTTTCCTCAACCCCCTACTACACCTACCCCCTCCACCGCCACAAATCTTACTCTGGTGGACTGGAACACCCCTTACCACATTTCACGACGAGACTAGAGACGGAGAAAACCCCTCATCATAACGACTTCCCCGCCCCTTTCCCGTTAACGAGACCCACGCCTTTTAACGATTATTCACGAGCCACGCAACGGAAAGACGACTTTGTGACATTATCGAGAGAAAGAATAGCAAAAATTATATCCTACTCATCCTAAAAAGGCATCAGCATTTGTCCAGCATCATCTTCTTCGTTCGGGTTCATATATTTCTATATTTTTTTTCCACATTACAAAAGAAAGACTTCAATTTAAATCGGGACGATCTTCCGAGAAAGCATTCACAACAATACCGCACTTCTAATACAAGGTTCGCTACAACAAAATCATTTAATTCCAATAAAGAAAACAGAGAGAGAACGACGAAACGTCACTGCAAGAGTCATCTAGAGAAGAAACTACGGTTACGTTAAGACGGTAGTTGGTTTATTTGGTGATCTGACGTCGTTCAGGAATCATCAAAGTTTTTCTTTTCTTTTCCTTTCTTTTCCAACAAAGGGGCTTCGATATCCTTCACTTTTAAACTTGACCAAAAGGACCTTGTTACAAGTGCTCTATAAATACATATTTAAACCCTTTTAAACATTTATCATACCATCTAAGCGATAGCAATGGCTAGCCATCACGACGGATACTACGACACCATCGGCTCCTCACGATCACCAACTGGCCAGCACCAACAACAGCAGCATCAGAGTCTCCATCGAGCCTCTTCAAGGCATTTTGAAACATTTGCTTCACAGAGTGGTCTTTACACTGCCGAGGACCACGCCGCAAGGTTCGACTCTCGTTATGGCGATTCTTCCCGTTTAGGTGCGGTCACTGGGTATGGGTACGATTCAGGGGCGCAGACTTGGAATGCAAGTAGTTTTGGAGGTGGTGGTGCATTGGCTGCTATGGGTGGCGCTACTGGCAGGATCAAGACCCCATCAAGGCAACGTAGTGCTTTACCAGCGGTATGTAGCAGTAGGGAGGCAGCAGGTATTGATGGGTCGAATTGCAAACTAACCTTCTGATAGATGTGGACTGATACTGCACCCGTATCTTTGCCCACGGTTTCGCCACTTGCCGGTATGGGGAATGTTCCACTGGGCCCGTCCCCTATGAGAACCGAGACTGTTGGATCGGATCCCGACGAGGAGTTGATACCTACAGCGATCGTAATCAAGAATATCCCATTTGCTGTCAAGAAGGAACAACTGGTGCAATTGATGACAGAGCTTAACTTGCCGCTTCCATACGCATTCAACTATCACTTCGACAATGGTGTTTTTAGGGGCCTTGCGTTCGCAAATTTTACAACCGCCGAGGAAACGGCAACTGTAATTGATGTCTTGAACCATTTCGATCTTCAGGGCCGGAAGCTTAGAGTAGAATACAAGAAGATGTTGCCCTTGGTTGAAAGGGAACGAATTGAAAGGGAGAAGAGGGAAAGGAGAGGACAGTTGGAGGAACAGCATCGGCCTGTGCAGATGCAGCAGCAACAGCCTATCATCCCTCTATCTACTTCACCTTCTCCCAGCGCTTCTCGGACACTTCCAGGTTAGTACTCCTACCCGAAATCTGTTTTATTCGAGCCAGTTGTTCGCGCCGTAGTGCATTTGGACTGCATAGTTTATTACTTGCCTGCATCGTGCAGAGTGCATAGACTAATGGTCACGTCCAGACGTAGACTTGAACGATCCACAGACTCTGCAGTTCTACTCACAGCTCCTGCTGTTCCGCGACGATCTCTCCCGAGAGGCTCTTATTTTTCCGTCGACGCTTTCTCCGCAGCAACGTCGCATCGTGCACACCCTTGCACATCACATGGCCTTGGCACACGTTTCTCGTGGTACTGGTGAACAGCGCCAAGTGCATGTTTTCCGTGCCCCAATTTCAGGGACCCCAAGCATAAGCCCACCGTCGATTCCCACGACCGTTCATCCTGTGGAATCGCATCAGCGACGAGTGCTGACTAGGGCGACTACTATGGATTTCAGTGACGCTCGCTCAGAAGGAGCGGGAATGTATTCAACAATAGGTCGTCACGGAAATTCTCTATTGGACATTCCATCTTCGCCTTCTGGTAGAGGAGATATGCATAGCCGACAGAATCTTCGTGCGGCAAAATCTTTTGCTGACTTGCGATCTTATACTCCGTCGCCTGTGCCTTCTTCTGCTAGCTTTCCTGCCGCTCTCGGAGGCAATATTTCTAGGTACACGGACTATGGTGCCAGCGTTACTTCTACTACTCCGAGTTTGACGCCAACTGCGACAGGAACTACCGTGTCTGCTTCTAATGCTAGTGAGTCGTTACTTGTGAATGGACTTGCTGGAGTGTCGCTTACGTCCTCCTTGGGTGGTAATCTCGGTGTCGGTGGAGCGAGCCTTCGAGACCCACGGGATCCTAGGGGTGTTTTGAATTTTGATAGAGAACGACAAAACGGAAGGGACGGCAATCACGATGTTTCAACGCCTGTTAGTGCTGGTAGTAGTAATGGAGGTGTGTCAACAAGGGGATATGGAGGTATGTCGCCGTACAGCGATGAACCGACGTCAGCATCTTCGATGAGAAGCGAGAGGGAGAGGGGCCAGGTAGTGCCTTCTAGACAACCAAGAGGACCGGATCCGGATAGAAATGCAGGGTTTGCGTCCAGGAGGCAGCATCGTGGGGGTTCTGGGGAGTTAGATGTCCAGTCAGGTGTTGAAATCGTGGTTGAATAGAGGGGTGACGGTTTTTATTTTTATTTTTTTATTCAGATTTTTATTATGTTGAAAGTATATTTGTTATTGCCTTTTAAGTCAACTTTAGGGCCTTTGGGACCTTTTCTGTGTGACCTTTTTATTCTATTTATTTCAACTTATTATCCCTGAACAGTTTTCTCACTGTTGGGATTCCCCCTGTATTAGATAGTACGATGTCTATGATATGGCAACGAATGCGAGGGGAAACAAAACAAAATCAAGAAAGACAGATCCTCCTTTTCTTTTTCTCTATTTCATATTTTGTGCGTTGGGACAGGACGGGCCTGGATGGGAAGGCTACGAGGATGATACCTTATTATTTATAAAGAATTTTCAGCAATGATACGGGGATTGGGAGGGAGGTATTTCTTATGTTTTCTTA